AGAGACCCCTGAAGTGGCTCCCACACCTGCAAGGAGAACAAAATCACCTCAAATGATCCAGAGAAGTATCACCTTAAAAGACTGAAAAATGAGATGCAGAGATAGAGCCAATTGGTCTGAATCCTCGACTGTCAACAGGCTGGCAGGAGGCGGGCGGGAGGGAAATATTTTTATTTCTTAGAGTGTTTAATGATCTCTGGAGAGTATTCTGAGCTTACAGCATTATTTTTCTTTAAATAAAGAGACACATATGACAACTCTGCTAAAACTGAACAAAGTTTTGCAAGCCCCACCAACTCCTGAGACAAAGTGCATGCAATCTATAAAAAGAGGGAAGAATGTTTCTATAAAGTATTAGTAGGGCGGAATCACACTTGGCTAATTCCTTCAATTATGCAGAACAAGAATGTGTTCCTAACACTTTTTCTAGTCATAAAGGTAATATATGCTTGTTATTAAAAACCTGGAAAAAATAAGAACTGGGGAAAGAGCTAGAAGAGCCATCCATGCGCTCGCCGTCCAAAGCTGCCTGTTGGGGTATTTCCCACTAGGATTTTTCCTAAGATATGCTTTAAAAATAGTTGTAACCCATCTGTTTAGGAGCAGAGATGTGCTCTGCTTTCCTCACGGCGTGATTCAGAGAGCCCTTCTCTGGGAACAGTGTCACTCAGCAAGATAGGTGGGAGCACATTTGCTTTCAGTCACATCACAGTGGAACAGCTGTTCTGCCACAGAATGGACGACATCCCGAAGGTCAGCCTTCTTCTAGGCTGGACTCAAGTTTTGCAATTAATAAAAACAATCTTGTTGCAAATGAATTTCCTCTCTCGCTTTCATCTCTTCCAGTTCTGGAGAAATTTGTGAAGTGGGTTTGCACTACAGAGAAGCAGCCTGCCCAAAATCAACGCACCCCGGTCCTCCCCAGTGCATCCCAGCCAAGAGGAATGGCTTGACGCTGTGCCCTGGTCAGCCCACGCCAACACAAGGCTCCCCTAGCAGGGCCACAGCAGAGGCAGCCAGACACTTCTCAGTCCTCACACCTTGCAACACAAATAGGAAACTCACAAGCACACAGGTTGGGGGCTTGGGAGGGAGCAGGGGATGGAGCGGGCTGGCTGATGGTTCAGCACTTCTGTGAGGTCCCAGGCGCAGCAGCAGTGGTGGAGAGGCGGCCTATTGCTCAGGGTTGGGTGGAAATGGAACTGTCGGCTGGGGTGGAAGTGTCGCTTGCCCACTAGGGGCAAGCTGAGATTCCTTGCCTTCCTGGACGACAAAGGGAAGCTTTTTCCCCTGTGAGATCCCAACTTGTGATAAATCTCTGCTTTTTAAATTCAGCCTTCTCACCTGGCCTTAGAGCCACTGTCCCGTTGGGGAGGAACTTGTGGAAAGGTGCGGGCCCCTGGCTGGGAACACAGGAGGTGAAGGCTGCACCTGTCCTACTCACAGGCCTCAGCAGGTTCCCTTTGAAGGTCTGCAGTGTGATAAGGTGGGCTTCAGGTTTCCTGGCCATTCAAATCGCACTGGGAAGCAGCCTCTCAAACTTCATCAGGTGAATGAGAAAACTTTTTAAAAAGCAAATAGGGCATTGAAAGGAAGCTGATTTATCTGTTTGGTAAGGGGCCTAAGGGAGCTTAAGACATGTTGTCCGAGAAAAGAAATACCCATGGGCTGTGGACATTTGTCCTGTTTGTCTCTTCTTGTCCCTTCCTGCCAAGGCTTGCAAGCTGAGACAGATGACAGGGGTAGGGACAGGGACAAAATACACTTGGGCCTGTGATCTAGAGAGAGAGACAATGAAAGCAGCCCAGTGAGCACTCAGACGTAGGAAATGCCTTTGCACCCTGGCAGATTACACACGATGTCCCCAAACAACATGTGCGGGCTGCTGCACAGCAGGCGCCCCCGTGCCCTCCACCAGCCCAGCCTCCGCTCTGTTGTACCGGACACTTCCCCCAAAGCAAACTCCAACTGGCGCTGACCAAGCAGCCCCAGACCCGGCTATTCACTGATCCCTGAGCTGGTCAGAGACACCTCTGCTCTGAGTACATTCGGGCAGTGAGGAGGTGAGGGTGCGGTGGGCAAGAGGTGGACCACTCACCACTTGTCCAGTGCTCAGTCTCTCAACATCAGGACTGGAGCTAACCGCTGCACCTGCCCTGTAGGCATGGCCCCATCCCACCCCTCAGCCTACCCCGCTCTCCGCCCTTACCAAGTGGCAGCCCCCAGGATCCCTGGAGAAGGTGCTGGTGGGGTTGGGTGGGGGGAGACACTTCCCAAGGGGATCCAGCAGTGGAATCCAAGTGGCTACACTGTCTGCAGAAGGAGAAGGAGGACATGCGGATTTTAGACATACCCACAGCCACCGAGGCCACTAGGGGCAACAACCCACTTGCTGACAGTGGACCTCTTCCCAGGAGCTGAGCTCAGCCATGAGGAAAGGAGCCGTCCCTTTAGCAGAAGGGAGAGAGGCAAAGAGTGTCAAGTCACAAATAAATGTAAGCATGTGCTAGAGTCGTCCAGAGCGGCAGCTCTATTGCAGGCAGGTGAAAGGAGTATGCTTGTAGCAAAAGAAAAATAAAAAAGGACTTGCCCCGAATTCAGTTAAATTATTAAAACAACGCGTATCTCATTCAGTCTGTTTTGTCCACAATTCCATACCCCTGCCCTCCAGATGAGAGAGGAGGTGTGTAAGACCAGAGGAGGAGCCCCCCATCTCCCCTGTCCTGCGGCTGCAGGGCTGCTACTAGACGTTTGATAAGCCCGTTATCAGGGAGAACAGGGGAGCTGATCTGGCCCTAAAGCTCCAACTCGCAGCAGCCCTGGGTGTGGTGTGAGCGCAGCGGGGAGGCGCCTGCGGAGCCCGTGGAGCTGGGAGCCAGGAGCCAGGTCTCTGGTGATGACAGAGAAGCTCCCGCTGTTTGTCAGGGGAGTTAGAAAAATCCCCAGAGGAAACAGGCACCTGCTCTGCATCACCCCCGAACACTTGAAAGTACGTCCCAGAATTATGAAAGTCTGCATCCTGCTGAATAAATGCAATGTGTAAAATGGGTCTGGGCAAACCCAGCCTTTTAAGACGGGAAGAGAGCAGGCCGAGAAGTCGGAGGGGCCCAGGCTGCTCCTGGTCCTGCCGCCGCCACCCTCCCCGTGCTGTGGGTCCCCACGCGGGGCGGGGCGGGGTTGGACTGTGTGTGGACCGCAGACGGGGCCCCGGGTCGGGTCAGTCCCGGGACGGCGCGGCGCAGCCCGCACGCTGGCCCTCCGAGCACGGTCAGGACGTCTGCTGTCTGCGTCCCGCCGTCCCGCCGTCCCGTCGCTTCCGCGTGGATTCCGCTCTGAGCAGCCGGCGAGGGTGAGTGAGAGCCGCGGTCCCGGGCGACAGCAGCAGCGCCACCCAGGACGCATCAGCCTGACGCCCGGCTCGGCGGAGTGCACCTGCATCGAAGCCAGGAGAGCGTGCACGGGGGCCTTTGAGCTCTGTGAAGCCACGCAGCTGAGAAAGATGCCGGGGCGTGTTAGAGACCGGCTGGATCCGCACACGCGGTGAGCAGGGTGCGGAAGAACGGCGTGTTCATTGATTCTCAGAGCCGTCCACGAGGGCGCCCCGCGGCGGCGCCTTGGCTGCGCTCCCCCTGGTGGCGGGTCCTGGGACGACGGGCAGAGTCACGGGAACCCAGCCCGGCTCAAAGCGGGGTCCCCGGGCTTGCGGGGTCCCCGGGCTTGCAGGGTCTCGGGCGCACCCCAGCCCTGCTGCGTCAGCATCTGTCTCTTAGGTCTCCCGGTGACGCGTGTGCACGTCCAGGTCTGAGAAGCCCGTGCAGGGCCCCCTGCCACACCACGTAGCCGACGTGGCTTAGGAAGAGTGGTCATTTACACTTGCTTTGTGCTTCCAGTGTTCAAAGGATTTTGTACACGTATGTGACAACCCTACTGGTACACTGAGCCGGTATTATTTTCTCAGTTCTATAGAAGAGAAAACAGAAACAGGCGGCTGCAGGCGCCCACGGTATTGTGGTCACAGAGACCCAGGCTCAGCGCTAAGTTCCTCTGTGCGTGCAATTTCATTGACGGTGACATTCGGCCTGAAGGCAGGATCGATCTGTTCCCAACAGCTGTCAACTCTGGTAACCCCTTCACTACTTGGCAATCTCAGAAACTTGAATGATTTTATTCCATTTTAAAAGTATGCAGGTGTTGCTTTTTCATTTCTCCTGAGGGTTATTTTGTGGGCGGCATCACGGGAACAACAACTCAGGAGGCACTGAGGGTGGGCGTGAGCTCACTCGAGTCACACAGTGGCCTGGGAAGTGGGCACCATTTGGTGGCATATGAGGAAACTGAGGCTCAGGGAGCTCGGGTCCCTTGTCTAACTCGTGCAGTGAATTTCCAGAGCTGGGACTCTTAACCTACACCACTGGCTCTCAAACTTGTTGAAAATGTACGTTCTCAGGCCGCCCAGCCCTGAGGAGTCAGGGGTGGCCCCCACAGTGTGTGATGTAAGAAACCTGCGGAGGCCTGGAGGAGGATTGCGGCCCTGCACTGTCGCTTCACAGAGAAGCAGAGAAGCACCCACGCAGCATGGTGCGAGGGGGCGTGGGGTTCGGTTCCGGTGGTGTGAGGCAGCCGGGGGCCTGGCCCATCTCCTCTGCCGCTTCAGGCCCACTCCTGGACGGCGTCTGCCTGGGACCCTGGCAGGTGTCTGACTGCGGTGTGTGTAATCCACCACTCACTGACTCTGACCATCAAGGCTGTTTACTGCTCCAGGAGGGCCCAGGTATATCAAATCAAAACAGGTTGGAGGAAAAGTTGCTCTGGCCCCTGGCTGTGGGCTTGGGGTCCTTTCCTGGGCTGGGGCTGCTGCTGGCAGTCCTGCGAGTTTGGATTTTGACTTTGTGGGGCCGTGTCATGACCAGCCTTTCTGGCTCTGATGTTTCTGCTGAGTCCTGGGCAGGTGCCCTGGGTACAGAGACCTCTGGATTGAGACCAGTACAGACTAAGTGCAGCCACAGATGTGGACAGCAGCGCCCTATACACCAGGCAGGCAGGCCTGCGTCCTCTGGGCACACCACGAGGCCTCGCTGGCTGCATCTCTCCATTTCCCAGGTAGACGTACAGAGGCCTGGTGACTTGCCCAGGGGAACTCTAATGAGAGCTAATTGGCAGCACTGCCAGGACTGGAGGCTCCTGATCCCTGGGCTTCTTTGCTGGATTCTAAGAACTTACCATGAGGCCTTACTGTGAGCAGGAAGCAGTTAAGGGTTGGGGGTGGGGAGAGGGTGCACTCATTGCCAAACCTCCAGCACTGAGGGCTTTGCTTGCTTCCGCCGTGTGACAGACCTCATTGCTGAACAGAGTGAGGCGGCCCTGCGCTGACTTTAGGCTCCTGTTGGCCCCACGTGGAGCATCGCTGGCTTCCCAGGATCTGTAGACAAAGAGCCTTTTCTAATTAGGTGGTGAGTGTCTGACATCTTCCCAGATTAGGACTTCATCCCAGAATTATCTGGTATGGAATCAGTTGGTTTGGATTCCCCACAGGATACACATTGGCAGTGACAGCTCACTTCACCACAGGCCAGGCTGGCAGCAGAGCCCAGGCCACCTCCAATCTGTGAATTAATTAGCATATGGCTGGGAAGGAAAGCTCACTTTTAAAGACATGCAAATCCAGCAGCAGCCAGGCTCACCTATTTAGCATCTGGAAGGGAGGGAGCGGCCCTCCCCACAGGGCACCCTGACCCAGCACCTAAGGTCTGCTCCGCTTCACCAGAGGTGGGGAGGGAGCTGATGTTCTTGTCTCCTTCCCTTCCTCCCAGACCCTGTAAGACACAGGCCCCAATTCTATTCTCCCTGACAAGGTTATTGTGAGAAAATGGGGCGGGTGGGCCTCACCGAGAGTAAGGAGAGGAGAAGAGGTGCTCCTGCAGCCCGGGACAGACATCAGCTCCCCCAGCCTTACCAGTCTCTCCCCGACACAGATCCAAGAGAACACACAACACATTCCCCGGAGCAGAGGTACCTGCTCTTCCTCATAGACAGATGCCTGCAAAAGTCAAACCCCAAGGACAGCAGGAATGAGACAGCCCAGGCGGGATTACAAACCAGAGACCGACTGTTGACATGTGCTCTGTGGAATCTATTTCATTAACTGCGATCATGTCTGTGTCTCCCGTAGCCTCACCACTGGCCCTTTGCGGTACTTTTCAACATGTCTTTGCATCTGTGATTTCATCGCTTTTTCAACAATCACACGAGATGGCCAGGTCAGATTTTGGCACCCCATGTTACAGGTGAGGAGGCCAAGGCTCCTGGAGGTGAAGTGGCTGGTGGTGGCCGACCTGCCCTAGAACCCCAGCCTCTGCCTCAGAGCTTGGCTACAGCAGACCCCACGGACCTGAGGCCTGACCAGTGAGGCCATGGGAGCGGCCCCATCTATGCCGTCACTGTAATGAGTCCCGTCCAGGTGCCAGGAGGGGCTTCTTTCACAGCCCCTGCAGTGAGCGACATTGACATGGGACACACCATGCTGTGGAAGGACAGGAGCACTCACATTCCTTGGTGTTGGGGGGGGCCAGCAGGCAGGAGTAGCAGACCATGCCGTAGATGTTCCGGGGTCTGTTCTCCAGCATGTAGTAGCTGCAGGGGCGAGACAAGACAGAGCAGACAGGTGAGCCAGGCAGCAGCAAGTACCGACCAAGACGGCATCACAGCCTCTTGCAAGTGGCAGTCAAGTCAGGTGTGAGAGGACCGCGTGTGGACCACAGCCCGCGTGCCCACGGGGGTCTCCGTGTCTTGAAATGGAACATCCTTTTCCCAGTATGGGTGCTCCTCAACGTATGATGGGCTCACATCCCAGCAAACCCACCTAGCCCACCCAAATCCATAGCAGAGCCTAGCCCACCTTAAGCATGCTGAGAACACGTACATCAGCCCATAGTTGGGCAAAATCATGACACAAAGCCTGTTCTATAATAAAGTGTTGAATATCCCATGCAATTCAGTGAATATAGACTGAAAGTGAAAAACAGAACAGTGTGTGGCAGGGCCGGCTCGGTGGCTCACCCGGGAGAGTGTGGTGCTGATAACACCAAGGCCCCGGGTTCGGATCCCATATAGGGATGGCCGGTTCGCTCACTGGCTGAGCGTGGTGCTGACAACACCAAGCCAAGGGTTAAGATCCCCTTACCGGTCATCTTTTAAAAAAAAAAAAAAAAAAGAACAGTGTGTGGGCAAGCAGACTGCGGTGTCTACTCAATGAGGATGGCTTTTGCACCACGGTAAAGTAAAAAATCACAAGTTGAATCATTGTAAATTGGGGACTGTCTGTTCTGGGCCAGTATGGGCCTTTCTTTTAATCTCCTCCCCTTTTCAGTTCCTTTCACTGCTGGATTTGTTTAGAGTGTGTATGTCATCACCATCCTCGTCGGCAGGTGTCCACAGGCCCCCCAGCACGCGCCCTCCTCAGAGCCTGTAGCCTGGTGAGACTGGTGGCGAATGCCTCTGAGGCCGTGGGACACTTGAACTGAAGGGAGCTGGCCAGCACAGTGGCTGAGGCGGACAGAGCACAGCTGCCAAGTCCAGACAGGCCAGTGCTGAAGGCCTTAAGGAGAGCCTGGAATACAAGCAGGTCATGATTGCTTCCTCCTCAGGGGCCCTTGACCGAAGACACCCATGTAACCATAAACGCACACTGGGGCCGCACACACGCAGGAAAGGACAAGTTACACACAGTAACGCTGTCGGAAGGCCTCTACCCCCAGTGATGGTCTGTATGTCTTTTGAGTTTCGTAATGCCACTATGCCAGCCACGACCATACTAACTGGCTTAGGTCCTGCTCTCAGGGGTCTGAGGCCCCCATCCCCTGGGTACAGCCCCAGTGACACTGCCTTCTCCGCTGGCTCATAGCTCAGGTTCCTTGCCTCTGCAGACTTTGGCTCTTGCCTTGGTGTGAGCCGGTTTTCCAGAAATGAACGTTCAGCAGTGATCATTGAGCCATTTATCACATTGTGAGAAGTCAATTAAAGAAAGCAAGCTGGTGCCAACACTTCCCCTTATTATAATTCAAGAGATGAAAAATCCCTCTCCACCATCAGATTTTTCCATGGTTGTTTTCTCATCTCTCTTTATTAGCCGTGCACCACGAAGGCATTGGTGAGCAGCAGCTCAGTGCAGGAGGGCCAGGGTGGGGGCGGGCTTCGAACTCCGTGAGCTTGGACCATGACCAGTGACATCACGATCATAGTAGCCTGTCCTCCCCTCACAGCCTTTTATCCTGTGTATCTTGTCAATGTTAATTAACCAACCTCAAAACACCCCTCAGAGAAGCCACAACAGCCAGTATTACAGTGAAGCCTTCTGGAAAAAGCCTCTCTCACATACGTCTTCTGCCTCCTCCAAAAGCCACCTCTGTCATAATGCAAGGGCCGTGCAGGGCAGATGGCGGATCCGCTCCCAGCAGGGTTGTGTGTCTGCCATGTGGCCTCACAAGGTGATGGCCAAGGGCAGCTTTCTAATACCCAGGTCCACTAACACTTCTGGCTGCCACCTCTTTCTCCTGCCACCTCCACTTCCACCACTCTCCTGCTCCCCCCCCCATAGTGATCTGCCCTCCCCTGGACGGGGGGGCTTCGAGGGCACGCCTTGTGCACATCCCAGCTGCTGGTGCCTCCCGCCTAGAGCTGAGGAAGGCAGGTTCTGGGTAAATACCGGTTGGACAAGTGAGTGAGTGACACTAAGTCTTTCTCCAAGAAGGGTAGACGCTGAGAAGGACAGAGGCCTGGAAGGGTGTCTGTGCCCATCCTGTTTAACACCCTGGGTGCTGGGCTCTGTCTCAGGCTCCAAAGCCTCAGGGTGGGTGCAGATTGTCTGGGCTTTAGTATTGGGTGCCCCTGGGGCCACCGCATTCTGAGTGCCCGAGGGAGGGACTGCTCTCGTCCACCAGGGGTCTCTTTCTGATTCCCGGAGGGGCTCTGAATGGCCGTGCTGTGCCTCCTGCCTGGACCCGGCATTTGGACCAAGCTGTGCAATGTGTTAAGTACCTTAGTGATGGAACAATATAGAAGGGCAAAAAATATTTTAAAATATGTTGGCTCTAGGAGGCTGTTATGAAATTGTACTTCCTATCCCGGCATGAGTGTTAAATGCCTGCGGATTAGTAGGAGCCATTTTTTCCTAGCACGTATTGTTTCACAGAACATATTTAAATGTTAGGTTTTTCTCTTTAGGCCTGGCCTAGATTCTCCGCGGTGTGGCTGGCCTCCAGGTCTCTTGAGCTGCTTGCTAGTCTCCTCCCACCCAATGCTTTTGCAGCCTGACATGGGCGTCCAGTTAGGGTCTGTGGCCCCCATTACAGCATCAGGTCTCTTTGTCTTTCCATAAAAGTCCTACTCTTTCATCCATATTTTGATGTTCTCCTAGTTCTTTCTTTCTTTACCTCCTGTTCCCCATGGGTTGACTATGCTCAGGGCAAGGTTCCATGGGCACCTCTAGAATGTTCTATGTGGGCATCGACATCCTCTTCTCAGGACTCCTAGGCCCAACACGGGGGCCACCGAGGCCTGGTGTGCCCACTTCCCTCCAGTGCGCTGGCGGGTGTGCAGCCCCCTCTGGAGCCCGGGAAGCTAGACCCTGACCTCTGCTGGCTTCGCTGCTCCTTCCTCCCTGCTGCCCACCCTGGGCTCTCCTGCAGAAGCCCTGGGCACAGGGCTCAGCGGAGAAGGAGATGAATAGGAGGTGGCCCGCATCTGCAGTCCCCACAGCGACCCAGGGAGGACAGCAGCCTTTCGTGAGCTAACCATGCCCACCTGCGAAGAGCTGCACACTCCTCCCGTGACACCGAGTGCCTATCACGGGAGGCGGGGGCTGTCACAGTCCTGTGAGCCAGGAGCATGCGGGGGGGGGGGGCCATTGCCCGGGGGGGGGGGGGGGGGGGGGGGGGGGGG